GTGCCTTAATCACAAGATCAAATAAAATATTAATTAGTAAACTTGTCAAGAAATATTGATAAGAAAATATCAACAAAATAGACGTAAAAAACTTACTTACTTTAAGGTGATTCACGCATCTACGGAATGTAGATCAATCGGTGCAATAGAGATATATTTAGCATGCCACCCCCAGGATTCTACAGCCTTATAATAACACTTCATGAACCTGCACTACTCATAGAGTCACCTAACTCAAAACATCTTTCTTTGCCCAAAAATATTTTGAAGATAAAGTAAGGTAAGAAAGTAACAGAATATGGAGGAACTTCCTCTAGTTGAGCAAAAAGACATGTTTTATTTATAGAACTCATGGTCATGTAACTCTCATTTGTAGGTTAATGATAGGAATAAATTGGGCAATTATTATGTAATAATGTGCCCTTAAGTAAGACAATTAACCTACAACAGTTAGTTTGACCAAGTCCTTAATGAGACAATAAATTCAATTTATAAAATATTTTTTATTAAAATATTTAAGTTACAACAATTCCCCCACTATTTTAATAAAAAATAAAACTTTCTTTTGAGCAAAGATGGATTATTATGCATAATAAAGGCAGCTAAGCCTTGAACCTTTACTTAGTGAGTCAAGAATTCTTAATCCAAAGTCAGTAGTAAACTATGTCTTGAACTATGATTCCATTGGAAGATGTAAGAATCGTATCACACACATAATGATCTGAATGTTGAGTTTTTCACAATACTGGCACATTATGGCCTTGCACATGATCTCGATTTTCATGGGTGATCTAGAAAATTGCCCATTCAATTTTCATAGAAGCAACCTTACTTCGACACCCACATAGGTGAAATTTGTCAAGAGTGCTCCCATAACTAAGACACCCCACTCAATGAGTTACAAATTTCATTAAGAGTATAAAACTCAACCATCAATTCGCTATGGGATAGATGCATCCTCACCTTAGGAATGGGATTGGAAATTTTTTCCATTAAATATTGATGCATCTTTCAACGACTTCTCTATGATTCATTTTTCTCATTCAAAACCCAATTCTCAAAATTCAAGTTGGCTATCCTCATAGGAAGTTCTACATTATTGGGCTTGAATCTCATTCCCCTCGATGAGCACTAGACCTTGGACTATGTATATAAGAGATTTAACTCATTCTTTTTCTCACCTTTTCACATCAACCCACACGTCTACTAGCTCATAAAATTCGCATTCACATTCCTCAAATTCTCAATTCATGGTACCACAATTTTGATATCAAATTGAACTAGTGAACCACCATTTTCTTTTCATACATGTAGAGACATTTACATAAGAATTTTTAACTCGAATACCATTGTACCTAGTTGTACAATAAGAATGTCCATCACATACCCCTCCTATTCAAGTAAACTGTTTTATTCTTTTTTATCATACACCATTATACCATAATTGTATAATAGGAATGCATATCACATTTATTTTGTTAAGCACCATTATACCTTATTATATAATAGGAGTGCATATTACATTTTCTTTGTTAAGCCTCATTATACCTGATTGTATAATAGGAATGCTATGCAAAATCTCAATTAAGCACCATTGGTCTCATCATCAAAAATAATACATAGGGACATCGCAATGCCAAAATTTCCTTTTTATAAAAAATAAAAATAAATAATAATAATAATAATAATAATAATAAAAGAGAAACAAA